AAACCAATCATAAAATAAAAATAACTAATTTTATTTAAGCTACTTGAAATTAAATGCAGTAATATTTTCAAGTTGTGTATTATCAAAATACACCTGTGACGTTTAGCATGCATCCATACTGAACACTGTCATAGATCATATTGAACAATGTCATAGATCATATTGAACAATGTCATAGATCATATTGAACAGTGTCATAGATCACATTGAAGACTGTCATAGATCATTTTGAACACTGTCTTAGATCATATTGAACACTGTGTGATAGATCATATTGAATACTGTGTCATAGATCATATTGAACACTGTCATAGATCATATTGAACACTGTCATAGATCATATTGAACACTGTATGATAGATCATATTGAACACTGTGTCATAGATCATATTGAACACTGTCAGATCATATTGAACACTATGTCATAGAACATATTGAACACTGTGTCATAGAACATATTGAACACTGTGATAGATCATATTGAACACTGTGTGATAGATCATATTGAACACTGTGAGATAGATCATATTGAACACTGTATGATAGATCATATTGAACACTGTATGATAGATCATATTGAACACTGTCATAGATCATATTGAACACTGTATGATAGATCATATTGAACAGTGTCATAAATCACATTGAAGACTGTCATAGATCATATAGAACACTGTCTTAGATAATATTGAACACTGTCATGGATCATATTGAACACTGTGTCATAGATCATATTGAACACTGTGTCATAGATCATATTGAACACTGTATGATAGATCCTAGTGAATACTGTCATAGATCATATTGAACACTGTCATAGATCATATTGAACACTGTACGATAGATCATATTGAAGACTGTATGATAGATCTTATTGAACACTGTGTCACAGATCATATTGAACACTGTGTCAAAGATCTTATTGAACACTGTGTCAAAGAGCTTATTGAACACTGTGTCAAAGATCTTATTGAACACTGTGTCAAAGATTTTATTGAACACTGTGTCAAAGATCTTATTGAACACTGTGTCAAAGATCTTATTGAACACTGTGTCAAAGATCTTATTGAACACTGTGTCAAAGATCTTATTGAACACTGTGTCAAAGAGCTTATTGAACACTGTCAAAGATCTTATTGAACACTGTGTCAAAGATCTTATTGAACACTGTGTCAAAGATCTTATTGAACACTGTGTCAAAGATCTTATTGAACACTGTGTCAAAGATCTTATTGAACACTGTGTCAAAGATCTTATTGAACACTGTGTCAAAGATCTTATCGAACACTGTGTCAAAGAGCTTATCGAACACTGTGTCAAAGAGCTTATTGAACACTATGATAGATCATATCATAGATCATATTGAACACTGTTTCATAGATCATGTTGAACACTGTTTCATAGATCATGTTAAATAGAATACGGTGTCT